CACACCCCTCTTTCCCCCTCCCCACCCTGGTCCACTCCCACCCCTAAAGCCGCCTTTTAGCTCAGACCTGGCCCGCTCACTCCCCTGCGTTAGTGCCACCCGGGGCTCCCTATTCCCTGGGGACAATGTCAAGTGCAGCTCCCTGAACAGGGGCCTCCCCTCCCTCTCCCCACTCGTGCTCTTCCCTCAGCCCCTAAGCCACGTGCGATTCTTTTACAGGGCTGCTCCCCACCTCAAGGCCTTTTCTTCAGTTGTTCCCTTTCTCTGCAATGTCCTCCAAACCCCGCCACCACCCGCCTAACTGCTCGCACTTCAGGGCTCCATTTCCAGGCCACCTCTTCTAGGAAGCCTTCCTCCATCCCGCCCTCCCCACCTGAACCCGGGACAGGTGAGGCGCTCCTCCTTGCCAAGGCCGCACAGCAAGGAAATTGTTGGACGGGGATCCAAAGTCAGGCTTTTCTCCTTCCAGAACAGAAAGCCCCAAACAGAAGGCTGTGCAAGCGCATGTTTGTGAGGAAAGAGAGGCTGCCGAGTGAGGCGGAGCTAAGTCAAGCATCCTGGGAAGATGCCCAGCATACACTCGGGGACACAGCCAGCTGCGGGGCGATGCGGATGGCACGGTGCCATTAAAAACTAGAGAGGTTTACAAAGGTTTGCAAAGGCCTCCATGAACTAGTTCAGCTGTCAGCAATAGCTGTGGGCCAGGTGAATCGGAACATTCTGTAAGCTTCGAGTTTGTTATGTCCTAAAAAAAAATCACACCCAATCAAAGGTCCTCAGCAATAACTTTCCCCTAACAATAAGTGCAAGGCTCAGGTGCTCAGGAATTCCAAGGCGCGGGGACGAGCTTTTGGAGGAAGGGCTCTGCTTTGACTACCCTTTGTTCCGCAAGGGACATAAGGAGCTGAGATGGTGACACAGAATGAGGACAGATGTGGTTGGCTGGGGAGCCTCACTTACCTTGCCCAGCAGCTCGGGCAGGCCCAGCAGCTGCCCGGTGAAGACGCCGATGCAGATGAAGATGGCGGTCACCTGTCCCAGGGAGCCCCGGATCTCCTTGGGCGCGATCTCGCTCACGTACATGGGGAGTGCGCTGAGGGCGATGCCTGTGAAGGAAGCAGGGCAGGCGTGAGAGAGCCGCCGCCTCCGGGAGGGCTCCGGTCACAGCACCTCCCCCTGCTTTCCCGGGACAGAAACAGCACGGCGGCCGCAGAGCCATTCCCTGCACTCCGCGCACAGTGCCAGTGCTTTACCCTGCACTGACTCACTAATCCACAGGTTCCGCTGGGGGCGGGTTTCATGGAAGAAAATGGCTGCTGATGGTGACAGTGGTTGTACCTATGCTGGTGATGCTGGTGAGGGTGATGGTGATGGTGATGGTGATGGTGATGATGGTGATGATGGTGATGGTGATGATGGTGATGATGGTGATGATGGTGATG